CTTTGAATAATTTTTTTTTTTAAAAAAAAAAAATTAAAAAAAAAAACAAGACAAAATTAGTTCTGTGAAATAACTGAAAAATACACTTTATAGAGAGCACATGTCGTCCACTGATTTTGTTTTTGTTTTTTTGTTTTTGAATTTGTTTTTTTTGTTTTTGTTGTTATTTTTTTGTTCTTTTTATCTTTTGATTGTTCTAAAAAGAATTGCTCTTTAATTCCGTATCATCTAAAATTCTGAATACCTATGCTGTCAAAATTTTGCCAACATCTTGTGGGACTTCTGCAAATCAATCTAAATCAGTATGTCTCGTAATGAATTTGTATAAGTTTGTCTCTTGGTTTAAGTGTTCAGGATTAAGGCCTTCCCAAATCCAGACCTGCTGGTGTATGTAATATGTTTTTTGGGCTGGATATATGTATATGGTTTTAGTGTTGTCGGTCTAGTCTTCTGGTGTAATTATTTTAATATTGTGTAATTACCATTGAGTTTATAACTACTGTTTAATGTTTATTTTCTTACCATTTATAAGGTTGAGAATAGCTCTGGAACTATGAATGATATGGCAAACACAATGATGCAAAAGTTCTGGGACTCAGCACTTGCATTGGAGCCACCAGATGATTCAGATTCTCATAGGTAATTGTTTTCTCTGTATTGTCCTTCAAGCTTTATGGTGTTGTTTTAACAGGGATTATTTTTACAGTGAAATGTCAGCTGCGCTGATGAATTCTGAAGGAACAGATTTGGGAAAATACCCATCGCTTGGTCTTGGAAATTCATTTTCATTTAAATTTGAGGACCCTAAAGGGCGTGTTCATCGATTTACTTTTGGTAAGTGTCATGTAGTATCTGGTTTTAGTTTGCTTGGACATTAGGAAAACACTTCAAATCTCCTTGGTAGCAATATATACTGCCTTGGTAAATTTTCTGCCCAAAGTATAAAACTGGTGCTGGCTTCTTGATTAGATAAAATTATTAAATGGGAAACTGAATGGATCTTCTTATATGAATTTGTGGAACAAAGATCGTATTGGGAATTTGGGACTTTCTGGAAGAAAAATTGGGTGCATTTATTTTGGAACATTAGCAGTATCTTTATCCTCTTTGAAAGTTTTTCCAGTTCTGTAGTGCATTATCATTCCCCGGGTTATCATGTTAAGTCAAATAAACAGTTTAAATTAAGTAAATTGCAGTGCTTGTGTATTTTCCCCGCTCTCTGTTCATTCTCTCTTGATCTGTCTTGTCCATGCCTCACAGCCTATTCCCTTTAGTTTTTTATTGGAGGGGAAAAGGGAGTATTTGAAAAAAATTCTTTCATTATTTCCTGGTGTATTCCAACTCCCCTTAGTTGACGTGGACTTGGATTCATCTTTCTTCCTTGTCTACAGCTATTTTTGCTTTGGATTGATGTTGTCCATGTACACTGCTAAATGTAGCAAGAACGGCACTGTTCCTTTATTGTATGTTAATCTTTGGTGAAGATTTTGACATTTATGATTTTGATTGTGTATGCTATGCATTTATTGCTACCCTCTTATTTTCTGTAACCCCTCGTGTTTTCTGGACCTGTGTCCCATGACAGTGGGTAAATTAGGCATTTCTACTAAAAATATTCCTCCCTGTTGGATGTACTTGTTGGCTCAACATTTAAAGAGTGGACGATAAACCACGTCTTGTTTAGCAAACCTTGCATCAGCGGATGTAGTCATTTGTGGTGATGAGTAGTTGCTATATTGTTATGTGTGATTAATAACGGTTGTAATATTATTTAATGGTTGATGTCATAGTAGTTATAGGGTCATTGAGGTTAATGGTTTGGTAAGACCATGTTTGTGAATATGCAATTTTACTTGATATTTCACAGTTTTGTGTTGATGGAACCTAATTTGACATCCCTGTCCCTTTTCTGTAAAATTTCCTTCAGCGACCGAGAATTTGGACGAGCTTGTTTCCGCTGTTATGCAAAGAATAGGGTCTAGTGACAGTGGCAATCGTCCACAATTATTGGTAAGTTTGTGGAGTTTGTGTTGTGATAATTCCGTTTTGGCCTCCCTTTTCATTAGATGCATGGCTCTTAACATTATGTTCCTTTGATTATAGTATGAAGATGATGAAGGTGATAAAATATTACTCACTTGTGATTCTGATCTCATTGGTGCTGCTCTTCATGCAAGATCAGTGGGACAAAAGGTACTATGTTTAGCCCATTTTTGCAGGGTCAACCTACAAAACTTCAGTGCATCATTTTGAAACTGTATCATAATATCCAGGTTTCCAAATTAACCACTAACATTGATTAACTATAAGTGTTACCATGGGCATGTTAATATTTAATTTTATTTGAATTCTTGGTTTCTAATTTTCCCACTAACAGAAATTGATGTCTAGTAGTCTATGTGAGAGAGGTTTCCGAATTTGGATAATATTTGACACTGCATTGCAGCTTTAGGATTAAAAATTTCCATTTTGCAATGCTTGTTTTTATTGTTTTCCTAATAAAAAGTAAAACAGACATGTTTAGCTATTTAATATGAACAGCTATCCAAAAGGATCGAGAATAATATGGGAATATGTGGAAGGTTAGCTTTTATGCCAGCTTTCTTCTAACTAATCAAGAATTATATGGGAATTTTTTTTCCAAGGACAGCAGGTAAGGACAGCAGGTAAGTTCAGCATTGCACCAAAAGTAATGCTTTGTGAGGATAATCTGATTCATTTCCCCCATTTCCAATCCAAAACTTGAGTGCTGAAAAAATGGCCAGTTATTGATTTTGATTGATGCGATACATACCACTGACTTATGTTGTAGTTTTTTTTTTCAACTTTAAGTAAATTGGGGACCATGCATTCTGGACCAGACCTACGTTGTTACGTTGTAGTTTGTTTTATTATTATGATCTCTTAGAACTATTCCTATAGATTGTCAAGGCCCACTTCACCTTCATTTGTTGACCATGTATTCATCTAAATGGGATTTAGATGCATTAGATAATTAGATATCTGTCACCTTGCTAGATTTGTTCCTGGAAGCCTTGAATTTGGAGCTCAGCATGACCAGATCCAGTCATTGTGTATGGTATTCTGGATTCTAAAGATCCTTAATACTTAAAAAAATAATTGGGCTCGCAGAATATGATTGTTGAAAATGATGATGTTTTGAGCTGTAGCAATGAAATAATTTCAAAGTTGGAAGTCAAGATGTATCAAGCATTCGCATTCAGATTTGTGTATGGAAGCTGCAGATTTGCAGGCCTGTAATGTCTGGAGAATTAAGATTGTAATAAACTCTATCACAGAGAAGCTAGTAAATGCAAATCCTTTCACAGAAATGTTTTGGTAGTGGGAGCCGAGGAGGCAGCTGGGAAGCGGGGTATGCTGGAGGCAGGGGATATGGTGGTCTTCATGGCTATTTTGATGGTGGGGATGAGAAGGGGGATGGTGTGGTTGGTGTGAATTTGAGGACTTGAAGAAGAAGAAAGGTGATTTGAAGATGAGGATTGATGCTTCAATCTCCTTGCTTTGAACCAGAAATTACCCCTGGTCACACTCACCTTGTGCATCAGTGCATCCTGTGCATGTCATGCTCATTTATCACAAAATAATTTTACTTGATTTTTTAATTGGATTCGGAGCAGCATACAATCATGATTTGATTTCAATTGAATTCTTCTGAATGCTTGCTTTTGTCAACAATTAAATTCAAATGAAATAAGTTATGACATAATTTCAAGTTTAGCAGATTTTAAATACGTAGTAAGATAAGATCAGGTAAGCTTAAACAAAATAAGTTGAATAGAATTGACCCTTAATGACAGGTTTCACTTTCCACTATCATCAGGAGATTTATATATATATATATATATATATATATATATATATATATATATATATATATATATATATATATATATATATATATATATATTCTCGGCTCTTTAATGTTATCTTTTCCTCAACAGGTTATAAGGTTGTTTCTAGAGTTCCCTGAAGCTGTCAAGGAAACCAGTTCAGAGACTAGTGCCACTGTTGTTGAGAGATCTAGATGGACATCAGTTCATTCAGGGATTCTGGCAGGTACAGTGATGGTAACAGCTGTTGGTGTGGTGGTCTATTTGAGGCACGTAAAACGCTGAGGTGTTGCATGGAATCAGTACCAGGCTGCAGACATTGGCCGTCCTAACATAATTATACTTTTACTTCCCATGCTCAACTTGAGCTTGGTGTAAACAAATTGATGCCTGCTTCTTTGTGGGAAGTTGTTAGTTTTCCCAAACACGATGTGATATGCATAAGTTTTTGTTCTTTCGGGGCCATTGTGACCTTTAAAACTATCCCATATTTTTTGTAAATTGAAAATATATAAAGCAATCAAGCAAAGCTTGGATCTTCTGACATCTGTTACTACTCATGGTGGTTCACCTTACAGAAGTATGACTTTCCTTTTTGGTTGGTAAAATTAATAAAATTTTTGTAAGTTATGTACAATTGTTCTTGAGTCTTCAGAATAAGCCTCTGCCAACATATTGTTATCAACATTTAACAAAGTGCATATAAACGATGTTACAGTATAATGAAATTGTCTGCTCATTAAACTGTTACTTCTGGATCTTATAGCTTCAGAATAACTTTCTGAACTATTGTGAGTATTCACTCTGGTAGGAGTAATCCCAAGGCCGAAAATGAGTCTTATAGCAAAATACTCGCTAACTATAATAAAACAATAGTTCACTGTTAAATAGAGACATAGTAACCATGAAAGCTAAGCTATCTTCAACTTATCACCTACCCTAGCTATAGGGAGCAAAAGCTTATCTAAGAAATCAACAAATATATTTAGCCTTTGATAATGCAGACAGATAAAATGTAAACTCCTTATAACTGGCATTAATCAGTATTACTGTGTAGTTGCATAACGAAAAAGGCTCCATTTTTCTGCCTAAATTAGTGATGTTCATATCATTCACCGAAAAATCACACAAGAGCAAATAGATCAAAACTAATCTGAAGCTTTACGAGAATGAGTTCATATCATGATTAATATCATAGTTCAAAATTCACTAGAGTTTGCCATAACATATTAAGTTGTTTCATTGTATCATCAACAATTAAGTTTTAGCTCACTTATTCATCTTAAGAACAAGCCATGAACTTAATACAATACGGTTTCTACAATAAGGTTTCTGCTGTGAATTTTCTGTATTTACAGAAAACAACTTTACCAACCGAAAAAACAAAAACTTCTAAGAGTTGTATTGTAATCGTCTGCAGGCTTGTAGCATACTATATCAGGTGGGTTTCAGATATTATTTCTGTATCTGTCACGCAAGGAAAGAAAATCAGTCAGCTTCAACCCAGCATTTTCATAATCCATACAAGAAATGGGCAAACATTATGAGATAAACAAAATGCTCTATATCAATTAAGAAATTATTACTGTAACAATCTAACAGCAAACTAAGTCTTCAGGTTTTATGGCCTTGAATCTACATGATGAAGCAGCGGATTCTAAAACTATTTTGGGTAACTACTCAGCTAAAGAAGCATAAATTATTAGCATTTTTTTATTAATGCTCGAAGAAGAGTTACGAGTATTAACAAAATCAGGCCAGTGAGAATCATCTAGCAAGATGTTATTACATCCATTCAATTGGCATAAGATCTATACCTAAAGAATCATTCAATCAAGTTCAGAATAAGATTTAGCATTGTTAAAGTTACCTAGGGTCATGGAGTACCAATTACGCTGGAATATTCTCATTGCCTCCAGAGTTTCCACCGGGAATTACTTGAGTGTTAGCATTTCCGGAATTATCATTATCCTGAGTCTCCTCATCAGGTTTGATTACATCTGCAATTACTTTAGGGACCTCATTTAGCAGGCGCGACTGTTCTGCCTCTGACTGTAGCAGGTCTCTCCTTTGACGAGATTCAAATAATGTAAAAGACATCAAGGTTAAGGATAAATACTTAAACATAGTAACTATGCATGCAATTGCACACGAACATATTGGTGACTGTATCAAAGAAACATCCAAAAGCAGATTGATGTTGCACAAAAATTTATTATCGAAACAATTGGGGGGGGGGGGGGGGGGGACAATCACAATTATGACTTCTAAAGGATATTCCTGTCTCCGTCCCTTTTCATTTGCTAGATCAATGCGATTCTTTAGGATAGACAGTTCTCTGGAGATCCACTGTTGGATATTGCAAAGAAAACAAAAAATTAGAACAGGTAAATCAAATTAACTCAGGAAGAATCAAAGCATGGTCCCAGTGTAGAGCAGTCAATGCTCAAATACAAGAGATCTATATGCAAAGAGATTATAAAATATACAAGAGAGCACCATTATTCAATAATAGCAAATTTCCCTTAACCCCCGCCATCCAAACACCATAATTAAGAGATTATGCCTGTGCCTTGAGAAATGATTAGGGCATAGATAGCACCTTGACAATGTTGTATGCCAAGGACTACATTAAGAGATTATGCATGTGCCTTGAGAAATGATTACGAAAGTAAGCCGAACAAAGTACATTCCAATATTAGTAATAGAATTACTCACATATTTTGTAATATCTTCATGGATTTCTTTTGCTTTCTTCTCAAGCTCCACCTGTTTGGATCAATATATTTTAGTCAAGAATTACGCAAGAAATTTCACTCTCAAACAAAATCACCAGAAAACTTCAGTTGCAGAAGGAAAAATGAGATACCATGCAGCCCTTATTAGTATATTTTAGCAAAGCATTCAATACAAAATGTTCTGCTATTTCTGGTCAGCTATACATTATTACTTGAATAAGTTCAATTAGAAAGAAAAACCAAATGGTTATCCCATTATATTCATTACCAAACTTTCAAGACATTTTTTACAATATCTTATACTTATTATAATAGTATTCCTTGGAGTTCTAGTAAAGCTGAGAGAGCTTACAACAGTAGGCCTAGGAATAAGGCCATTGTCCACTTTCTGACGCAATCCTTCACAATCTTCCTGCATATGACAAGCAATTCAATGCTAACAGTTAGTGTTCCTACTCTGAAATACGAAAACAAACATATGAAAGGAAATAGAAGGCAAAGGGTAACTCCACCATATTAAAGGGAAAAAACAAGAGAACATACAATCTAATGTTAGATGCATATAAAAAGAGCTACATATATCACAGGAATGAATAGGGAAATGGGAAAACTAATGTAGTACGCCAAAGACATGCAGTTCCTGCATGCTCATAAAGATTTAGTAGGATGTCATATACCCACCTAGTCAAGGTTCATTTTACACTTTGTTGAGAATAAGCTCAGATTTTACAAAAAACATCAAATTAGCACAAAGATCTAAATTAAGGGCAGTAACATGACTAACATATTAATGCAGGCAGAGGAAGAAGGTAAAGTAATATTTTTATGCATTTTTAAAAGGTGACAAAAATATTATTCAAATTTTTATCTGAAAATTACGTCACATGTTTGTAAAAAAGAACTAAAGATCAGCAAATTTACTACAATGAGTCATTACACATCCATATTATAATATTAGGAGTATCTAATTGATCAAGTACCTCAGCTATATCATCATTTGATAGTAAGCGAATAGGAACATCATTAGCTAGATTAGATACTTGAAGAAAAACCTTTCCATTGTTCTTATCACCAGAGTTCGAGATTCCTACAAAGGTATAAAAGGAGAAAAAAAAAAATCAATACAATAAGCAATTGGGATAGATAAGGAAAGCATGAAGTCAAGTGCTAACTTCCCAGTTCCCACCAGTTTGTCACAAGAGGAACAGTTCAACAGATATAGAAACATGAATGATCACTGTAGAGTTAAATTTATTTGAAGAATTTTGTGTCATAAATGACAGCACTGTAGTGTCCTGTTATTATGCTTTGATACTCATGTTGAACAGTTGGTTGGAAAAAATAAACGAAGCACAAAATATGTCGAAAGTATATATAGGTTAAAGAAACAAATTACTAAGGTTAATACCATATCCAACCATATAGTTTACACATCACTCATCATCATCATCTCATATTCATTACCTTTTACTGGAAGGAGTTGATATGGACGCCTTGCATCAAATGGTTCTGACTTGACTTTCACGAAGCTTCCCACCACTTTGCTTTCAAATGTTTCACGCTGCTCCAACAACTTTTCCACTAAACACCTCTTCAAGTAAACGAGCTTCATATTTTGTGGAGTTATAGTTGCAAATTGACTATAAATAACTTGAGCAACAACAATTGGTTTTTTAGGCTCCTCAATCATCGCCTCTTTCTGTTGAAACTTTTCCATAAGTGATCCTTTATGCTGAAAAGATCCAAGCTTTCTCCACCAATTCTTCTTTATGGGTAAGGAGGCCTTTTCCTCCTCACAGCCTGAACTATATCCTTCACCTTCTGACTTCTCTAGGTTTTCAGAAAAATGACCTTCTAAAGCATCATTTATTTTATAAATGCTAACTGATTTTCTTCCTATTAAAGGTCGCAGTCGTACATCACAAAGAACCTTCTTCTTTTTGTCTGGATCAAACAGTTTATTTTCATGTACATACTTATTGACCATTGAAGCCACGTCATCCTGAGATAGCTTCTTGCTCGTATCTACTCCAATAGATTCAAGGAATGTTATAAGAACTTTGGAGGCCCAACCTACAAACTCAATTCTTTTAGGACCTTTGCGCCTTCTTGGCAACTGTTTGGGTTTCTTTTTCTTACTAACTATTACTGGCTTTACAGCATTATCACCAGCACCATCACCATCACCTTCACCTTCACCATCGCTGTCATGATCATCATCAGATGTCAATTCTTTATTGTCTTCCTCTTTGACAGATTCATCTGAGTCAGAGTGATGCAACGGCCGATACTTATGTGACTTATGAGGTTTGTCCCTGTCATCATCCTTCTTTATTTGGACATCTGCATCATGCAGATCTTCTAAGGTCAACCCTTCCTTTTCCTTAACAATATCCCAGTATTCCTTGAAAAGGCCTTCATATGTTTCCCGGTCTTTGAAGTCCACCTTTTCCTGTAAGATATAAATAAACCAATTAAGTAAGTAACTATACAGGCCACAAATTTAATTTGATATTCATCAAGTTAACCAAACACCACTTGACTCTATTACCAGTAATCAAGAAAACTAGATGGACCATTTCAACATTAGAACACACAAAGTGGCCACAGGAAATAAATTCATTAAAACTTTGAAGCAGCAGAGAGCTGGAATAGGCAGGTACTGGGGTAAAATATAAAAGGATAAATTACTTTCAGATTTTGAAACCAAAACAAGGTACAAATTAAAGATGCAGGACACACATTAAACACCTGAGAAAGAAAAATAATTTAGGGAATAGGAAGCAGCATATATGAGTATGAAGATCTGAAATAGCCTTCGTCACCAAATCTTCATAAGCCAATTACGGAAAAATTCTAACGCTATCACTAATCTGAGAGCACTTAATCTCATCTGAATATGATTATAGAGAAAAGGAGATCAACACAAGCATCTATAAAGAAATATTATGTAAAATAAATTACAAAATGAACTTATACAAATTTGCCTCTATCAATTCATATAGAATTACTTGACGCTATTGACATCATCAATTCCAACATGAACTCTACGCCCATAGGTGAGTCTCATGTCCCGGTCACAATAAGGGGAGTTGTATTCAAAGTATAACCTTGTCCACATTAGAAGGCGTACACCAGGGGCCAGGATAAGCACCTAGTTGGTAAAAGAATACAGGGCATCCCCATTTTCACCCCAACATTTATGTCCAAATATCAAAATATAATATGTGGAGTAGCTGTTTAATGATACATGCATCAAGTAGATAAGAACCTGCAAGTATAAGAGATTTAACAAGGTATACATCAAACTATAGATTTCATACAGCACTGATTTACAAAGTACCCCATACCCCATCTGAGTCAACATCCACGCCTTCTTCTCCGAGTAATGCAAGTTTGAGGCAGTCATTGCAGAACCCTTTACCGCCTGCAGTTTTTGCAAATGCAGCATCCTTGAAGCAGCTTTGGCAAACAGCATTCGGACAGAGGAAACACTGGTACTTTGAGTTTCTTTTGCAAACAAGGCAATTATGCCATCCTGAAAAGAAGCACTCATCATTTGTCAAGTTTACTTGCTTGAGCTTTTTGACAATGCAAAAAACCAAGAACACCCTATAATTGAGACGAGTAGAATAATGGACACAGGATATCATCGATGGAAATGCAGAATCTGCCTCAACCTTTAGGCCTAAGATAGCTAGATATACTATCTTTCGGTCTTTCCTATCCAAAAAACAAAAAAAAAAAAAAAAAAAGAGTTTAAGGAATTGCAGGAGCACCTTGGCATATCAAACTGTTAGCTAGAAAAGTCTTCAACTTGATCTTATGGAAGGCTAAAAAAAGTGCCAAAAGTAGAAAAACTTTCAAATAAAACTAACGCTTTACTATTATTTATTTAAAAAAGACGAACTTGTGCATTTGCTGCTAATTGGCATACTTTCTCCCTCCGTCCTGTCAAAATGTCCACCACTCCAATTCGGGATGTTCCAAAATAATGCCCACTTACTAGACATGACAAATTCTGTTAAACTTCCAATACTACTTTTTTTTTGGCTATTGTTAAAAAAAAAAATAAAGTGAAGAACATTGGCTAGTATAACACAACTAAAGAGAAGTGAAATGATCTTTCTTACCCTTTCTGAAAATTGTAAGTGGTCGTCTTTTATTTTATTTATTTTTAAATATGAAACAAAGGGAGTAACAATTTTAATTAGATGATGAAGATGGTCTAACATTTAAGATTGGCATGCAACACTGGCATTTATCAATAAATAATCAATAAACATGAGCTCAAAGGCATATATATAAAGTTGATGTCTAAGGAGACCAAATTTGGACCCTAAGATAGCATTACTAATGGCACAACACTTTGTGAAGATTCATAGACAGATTTACCACAAATCCATGGATCATCAGTATCTTCAGTTGATTCTTCTTTTCCCACACATTCAGCGTGATAAGATTTCACACAACCCCTGCAAAATCAAACCAATCACAAAAATAAGGAACTTAGCAGACATGAAAATGAAAGGATAAAACAAGGCCACATCCACGGTCCAATTGTCTGATAGGTCAAACGATACAATCATACAATACACATTTTTGAGACTATTAATCAACAGAAAAGGTCATTGTTATTTATCATTATCATCTTGAAAGATAAATAATCTTGAATTTCAAAGAGTTGAAAGTTCAGTATAGTATAACATTTTCTCCTTTTCAAATCAAAACAGAAAATTACTTCGTATAACATATCAAAAGTAATATACTCAATCTTGCAGGAATCCCTTATTCCATTGATGACTCAATCGTCACCAACTTATGTTCGAAATACTACTTCTTCCGTCCCTTAAAGAATAGTCCACATTCTTCATTAAAATGGTTGCCCTTAACTAATGTCCACTTCAAATGCACAAAAAAAATGACAATTATATAAGGGATTGGGGCATGTGCAATGCAGGTGGTAATAAATTTTGGCAGATAGAATAAATTTAGGTGAAATTTTGTGGCTCTTTGTTAAGCCCTTTCTGCTATTGCAGAAGCTGCAATTAAGCCCAGAAACAAAGGGATCTTATACAAATATTTCTTACTGAATAAATTTTTATACCAAAGTTTTTGCCTAATTATACTTCTTAATTATATTAATTTCATCAAGTATTCTGGAGTTTTATATGTAGGGGCTAGTTTTTTTTTTTTTTTTGAAAGAATATGTAGGGGCTATTTTATACTATGTTGAAAAAAAAAAAACAAAAGTGTATAAACTAATACCACCTGCAGTGCACGTGCAACTAACCCCAGTTTCCTCATCTAATGCTTTAATCATTCATCTTCCCCATTTTTTTCTTCTTGTTTTTATCATTTATTTTTATTTGGATGTGGGTCAACAAAGCCACAGAGTGGCAGATTCTCATTGACTCTTCAAGTCAAGGAACTTGGATTTTATGTCCAGACAATCTTTCTCAAACCCGTCTACATCAATGTCCTTTGCGGCCTTTAGATAAGTACACCAATTAATTTAATTGCAGAAAAATAGATTGCGGGTAGTATAAAACCAAACCCGTCTACATCAATGTCCTTTGTGACTCTATATAAGCTGAATAATTTATTTCAACTGAATAAATAATTTCAGGGGAAACGGATTATCTTTCCCTGTTTTCTCTCCTTTATTTCGCTTTACCGCACCAAGAAAAAAAAAAACAAAAAACAAAAAAAAAACTTAAATTTATTAATTAGATTTTATTTATTTATTTTATTGGGGGAAGCATGACTCAATTGCTCACCTACTCATAAATCACAGTGAAAAGGTCAAAACAATTTCGCCATTAATAAAAAAGGCATGACAAAGGCACAAAATTATTGAACCCCAATTTAACAAATAGTTACAAAACCAAAAAAAAAAACATATACCCAGCAAAAATAATTAAGAAAAACAAGCAATTTAAAGATTTTTAACAATACCCAGAAACAAAAATTCATAAAAAAGATGCTACATTATTCCACAAACTTTATAGAAGTATAACAAGTAAAAATCAAGGGGAATTTTTATTTATAAAAAACCCAGAAAACCCCAAAAAGATGCTACATTGGACGAACAATTAATGATCAATAAACAAAAATAACAAAAAATTAATGGAAAAGATTCATACTTGTAATCACAAACCATCAAAAGACCACCATCTTTGCAAACAAAGCAGTAATCTTCAGACTCAACTTCTCCTCCTTTAATTGGTTCTTCAATTATCTCCTTTTTCGGCTTGCTGATGTTATTCTTTCTCTTCCTCTTCACCATTGTTGATTTTAGAGAGAGAAAAAGAGGAGAGAGAAATAAAGAGCAGAGGAGAAGGAGGAGGACTGAATGACTGATGTTGTATTTGTGAGGAGTTTGGTGGTTTATTTAATTGCTGTAAATAATACATGTAACAAATTACTCTGTAACACCGTAATACATAAATAATACTACCTCGGTTAATTTTATATTTTTTACTAGTATTAATACTATCTCGGTTAATTATTATTTTTTCTACTAGGAAATGTTTTCTCCGTCTTCCTAAAATTGCAACAATAAGATATTCCGCTTTTTTTTTAAAAGCGTAATCTATATATGAATTAGAGTATTTATAACAATTAAATAAAAGTGATATGGAACGAATTTTATAAGTACTTAGAAAAAAATAAGTATATACTCGTACTATGTGTATGAATAGTGTTAAAACTCAAAAGCAGTATTTAAGTAATGGGATTATGGAAATAACAAGGGGAGGAAAGTCTTATGTAGTTATGTATATCAGACTATATGCTCCTTATGTTGGTTTTGTCATAAGAGGGAAGTAACGCCCCCAATATGGATTGACATATGGCTTGGGATTCTCTCCCTTTGATTATTGTGATAAAATATTGGTTTAGGTAATGCCGATTGGTTACCTTTTTAGGAGGAATATTTCCTTATTTTATGAGGCTATGGATTTTTTTTTTTTTTTTTTTTTTTTTTTGAAACAGCTATGGATTATTATTCATTGTATTTTATCGATTTTCATGATTTTATTCAATAATAAGGAAATGTTACCTAAATTGAACAACAAAAATGGGAAGCATTTTTTTTTTCCTTTCCTTTGATGAAGATGGTGTGACAAACTGACAATATTATGTACTCGTATAAAAAAAAAAGTTGTATTTTGTAACCTGCGTGTATAAGAAAGTAAAGTAAAGTTGTTTAAACTGTTTTTTTCCAAAAGAGCCGATAATATCGTTGCCTGCTTAACAAAATGGGATACTAACGGTAACTACTCACGTGAAAAGAGACGGTGAAACCGCTGCCCACTTAATTGCAAGGTGGAATACTAGAGCATCTCCAATGGTTTAATTGTAAGGACTTGCTTGCAACCGGTGAAACCGCTGCCCACTTAATTGCAAGGTGGAATACTAGAGCATCTCCAATGGATTAATTGTAAGGACTTGCTTGCAATTAAAATAAAAATATCTAGCTACATACTTACCATTGGAGAACAAAAAATTAAGCAACATGCAAACTACTGTAGCCCAAATAAAGAGCAATTAGAGCAACTCCAATGGTAAGCTAATTGTGAAATTAGCTTGCCATGCCACCTAGGATTGCAAAGCTAATCTACCTTGTAGCTAATTAATCCCACAATGGTTAAGCTAATTTTCAATATTTTTTTTTTTATTATTTTTTTTAATTCCCACAATTTGCTAAGCTAATTAGCTTAGCTAAGCGAATAGCTTTGCCCAGCTAATTTGGTAATGCAATTCCAATGGTTAAGCTAATTATTTATTAGTTTCATAAATTGCAAGCTAGTCCTAATTTTACACTGTTGGAGTTGCTCTTACAATGGTTGGCTAATTTATTTAATAGCTTGGCATGCCACATCATCTTCTTTAGCTACAACAATTCAAGCTATTTATTGCTCCAATGGTTAAGTTAGTTGTAAATTAATTTATTTTTAAATTAATAATACTAGATGAAGCCCGTGCGATGCACGGTTTGTTTGAATTTTTTAAAATAATATTTTTACATATATATTTATGTGCTAAAAATTGTTAAATATTTAGATAAAATTCCTGATATTAAAAGATAATATTTTATATTTAATTAATTTAAACTGGATAATCTCATTCGCTAATTTTTCTTACGTGTCAGTTAAATTATTTAATTCTAAAAGAAATTAATAACCTCGTATTTAATTGGCTACCACTAAAATTTATTATCCTACGTGGCGTGCTGAAAAAATTAAATCCTACGTGATTCTCTAAAAACTCGTGAAAAAACTCCCCTTTATATATATATACTAGATGAAGCCCGTGCGATGCACGGGTCGTTCTATTTTTTTAAAAAACTATTTTCATATTTATGTGATTACATTTGTTATTTTATTAGTTGTACACTTGTACGTAATATATCATTTTCTCCGTATTTGTTTTAAAATATTAGATAAAATTCATAATCTCAAAAGATAATATTTCGTATTTAATTAATGTAACCATTAAAATCTCATTGGTCAATTATGCTTATGTGACACTTGAATTATTTATTGGATATAACTATAATTTATAATCTTACGTGACACGTTAACTAATCTTAGGTGGCATAATCCTATTGTAGCGTTTTAAAAATATTAATCCTATGTGGCGCTCTAATAATTTTTTAAAAATAAAAATCCTATGTGGCACTCTAAAATCTCGGGAAAAAACTTCCCAATCTCAAAAGAAGTATTTCGTATTTAATTAATGTAACCATTAAAATCTTATTGGTCAATTATGCTTATGTGACACTTGAATTATTTATTGGATATAACTATAATTTATAATCTTACGTGACACGTTAACTAATCTTAGGTGGCATAATCCTATTGTAGCGTTTTAAAAATATTAATCCTATGTGGCGCTCTAATAATTTTTATAAAATAAAAATCCTATGTGGCACTCTAAAATCTCGGGAAAAAACTTCCCAATCTCAAAAGATAGTATTTCGTATTTAATTAATGTAACCATTAAAATCTCATTGGTCAATTATGCTTATGTGACACTTGAATTATTTATTGGATATAACTATAATTTATAATCTTACGTGACACGTTAACTAATCTTAGGTGGCATAATCCTATTGTAGTGTTTTAAAAATATTAATCCTATGTGGCGCTCTAATAATTTTTTAAAAATAAAAATCCTATGTGGCGCTCTAAAATCTCGGGAAAAAACTCCCCTATATATATATATATATATATATATATATATTAGATTGTTAGGAAATTAGGGTGTAATTGTGTTTGATTAATGCGGAACAAGTCAATGAAATTAAGAACGAGAAAAAAAAAAAAACAATAAAGAAGATAAACCAAGAACACAAGGATTTACGTGGTTCGGTCAAAATAGACCTACATCCACGGGTGGGGGATTCGAGAGCTTCTTCACTATAATGGAGAAAGAAACAAGAGAATAATACAAGGAGTCCTAAATCTAACGGCTCAAAAGGTATGATCTAATTGATCAACTAAAGGGTCCTTTTATAACACAAGGAAACCCTAAAAAAACTCTAAGATTGTTCCCCAAGTATACTCAAATAGCCGTCATAGAAAAGATATAATTTTAGGAAATATTCCATAAATTATCCTAGAATAACCTAACTACCGAGCTATAGCTCGGCATCTAGCTCATGCCTGCCGTAGGTCCTCATAGGGCCGAGCTATAGCTCACTCGCATAGAGCTATAGCTCGCAGCCTAGTTGCAAATTTTCAGCTTTGTCAGGTTTTTGTAAAAATGGTCATAACTTTCTTGTTTCTTATCGGAATTGGGCATATGACCTATCGTTGGAAAGCTCTTGAACCAAGCTATCACCTCCAACTTGAATCACCTCAAATTCAGTTGTAGTTTGAGAGATATATTCGTTCAAAGTCAGCCCTACTAGATTTCGAGTCACAATTTAACATATATATATATATATATATATATATATATATATATATATATATATATATATTGCTAGAATGAGAAATAAGAAATGAGAAAAGAAATCTCCACCCTTAGATTTTAGTAACCACCAACGGCTCAGATTAGAACATTAAAAATTCACCCTTCTCTTTCATCCCCCTCCCACGTTTCTATTTCAGTTCCTTTTTTTTTCAATAAGCTCTTCATTCTTCTTTAATTGATCAATTGACCAAAAAATTATGTGATCGGCAAAAACGACAAAAATTGCACCTTTACAATAGTATTATCTTGCTGCTTTGACCAACAATTTCAATCACAATTGAGGTATGGACTGGTATTTGTTTTTTTTTTTTTTTTTTATTTTTTTTAATAATACCTAGACTTGATAATTGTTAGCTTGAATAATTCTTGTTTGTTTGTTTGCATTTTTTTTATTAATATCAAATCAAGTGGTTAACTAGATAGTACATGATTTTGGGGTTTTCTTTGATTGATTATTGTCTTTGTGTGTTTATATGGAATAGGTACATACATTCAATTTTTATTTCATTAATAAAAAATGCTTAAAATTTCATACTCTGTAGTATCTAACAATAGCACACCATTAATGTTTTTTTAATTACATCATCAATTATAATATCTTTTACTTATTCCATACATGTTTATTGTTACCCCTTATGAAGGCAATCAAGGCAATGGATAATGTCAGGCCATCATTAGGAATGATATTTAATAACTTAGATGAAGGAGCAGAATTTTACAAACGGTATGCACATAATATTGGTTTTAGCGTTAGGTCTTTGACGGGGGTGAAAGATAAGAAGACTGGTTTTGTTATATGGAAATATTTTTTGTGTTCTAAAGAAGGTTATAATCAACCTACAAATCAATCTATGAATGGGGGTAAATCTAAAAGGTTGAAAGAAACAAGAGAAGGGTGTGGTGCCAAAATCAAAATCAAGCGAACGAAAGAGGGTAAATATGAGATTAAGGAGTTTGTTGAGCACCATACCCATGCACTTGCAACTCCTACAAAGAGACACCTTTTGAGATCGACAAGAAAGGTTAATTCTATGCATAAGGCTGTTTTATTCACATGTAGTCGAGCCAATATAGGACCTGCCAAAGCATATCAGTTGATTAAACATCAAGTTGGAGGATATGATAAAGTTGGATGTACGCAAAAAGACCTTCAAAATTATCAAACAGGACTTAAAATTATGATCAGTGATTATGATGCACAGATGTTTAAAGAGAATTTTGAAAGAAAAAAAGAACTTGATCCTTCTTATTATTTTGCATATGAGGTAGATGATGAACATCGGTTAAAGTATTTTTTCTGGGCTGATGGCATTGGGAGAAAAAATTATGCCACTTTCGGTGATATTGTCTCTTTTGATACGACATATGGAACAAATAAATACTCAATGATATTTGCTCCATTTACCGGAAGAAATCATCATCGACAATGCATTACATTTGGTGCTGCATTTTTGTGTGATGAGAAAACTGAATCCTTTACTTGGTTGTTTGAGAAGTTCTTAGAAGCAATGGGTGGTCATAAACCTAGATGCATAATCACCGATCAAGATCCAGCAATGAAAGCTGCAATAAAAAATATATTTGATACCTCTTCTCATCGATTTTGCATGTGGCATATTTTAAAAAAGTTTATGAGAAGGTAGGTGGAAGTCTTAATAGTAACGAGGATTTTCAATATAAATTTAAATCATGTGTGTGGCAATCAGAGACTCCAGAGGAATTTGAGCATAGTTGGACACAAGTTGTTAATGAGTTTGAGCTCACAAAAAACGAGTGGTTCTCTTCTATGTACGAGATACGACACTCATGGATACCTGCATACTTCAAAGACTTGTTCTTGGCTGGTTTATTTAGAACAACTTCTATTTCTAAAAGTGAAAATTCAGTATTTGGTAGTCTTACAGATAAGTGGCTCAATTTGGTTGAATTTTGGGTTCGATATGAAAGTATTATTGACAGGCAGAGGCATAACCAAAAAAAATCTGATCATGACACATCACATTCACTTCCTATATTGAAGACAAATCATAGTATAGAAAAGCATGCAAGAGATATTTATACTCATGCAAATTTTTATGTCTTTCAAAAGGAGACCAAAGAGGAAAATGGAAGTATAATATTTGAAGTCATGACAGTAATCCTTGGAAACCAAAGCAAAGAATTGTATCTTATAATACTTTGGACAATGTGGCTCATTGCTCATGTAAGTTATTTGAACAAGATGGCATTCCATGTCGTCATATTCTTTGTGTTTTCAAGGGCAGAGGAATTGATGCAATACCATCATATTATATTGTTCACAGATGGACTAAAAGTGCAACTTGCTCACTTATATTTGATATGGATACTGTTGTAGATGAAGGTTGTTCTCAAATTCAACTTGCTAATATAGAAATATCTGAGTTATGGAAAGATTTTCATGGTTGTGCAGAATTGGTCGGTTATGATATTGATAAAATTCGTGTTTTAAGGAATGGGATCATAGATTTTAAAAAATCTTTGCTCGAGAGTACCAATGTTTGTGTAGATAACAAGACAAATGATTTGGAAGCATATGTGGAGTCTACCATTCCAGTGAAAATTGATATTCATCCACCAAAGCATTCAATAACTAAAGGAAGTGGCAAGAGAATTCCAAGTGGGAAAGAGAAGGCTATTGAAGATAAGCAAAAGCGACAGAGACTATGTAAATCATGTGGAAAATATGCACAACATGATAGTCGCAATTGCCCTATGAAAGAGGCTTGATTCTCTTCTTTGGTTAGTTATTCCTTATTAACAATATATAGGCACTTCAGACGGTGTTGGGTTTAATTTGGCTATTGAATGTTTGCAGAGTTATTCCATTTTTTGTCTCACATGGACATGTAATTGATTTTGTGATTGGGATTGAATGACAGATATATATTTATCTTGAATAATTATTATCTGCATTTCTATTTGGTTCAGCTCCATTTTTACATGCTCCATTGCTATATTGATTTCAGTATACGATTAATGCAATAATGCCAAAACTATAACTCAGGAAACAACAAATTACGACTAACTGATAACCCATGAGGGATTCGAACCCACAACCTTGTGCAAATGCACAATGCTCTACCGTTTGAGCTAATAGGTTTCACAAAATCATTTTTTGTTATCTAATAATATCCAAAAATTCAACTTATGAATGCAAAAAAAAAAATGATACAACCAAGAGTAACTCTGCCTATTACGTAGTATATATTTTAGATCTCAAAAAAAGGAGCTAATATGTTTCTTATTCCACTAATCAGTAAGCACAACAACCAATATATCAAGGCACTAGGCCACTAACCATTTCCAAGAGTATCATAGGTTTCGTAACAAATGAATCAAAAAACACAAATTTTGGGTAAAAAAGAACAATTTTTAAAAACCATAATTAACAAATATTGTAGAATTTGTAAAATAAAAAATCAAAAACTTTATTTAATTGCAGATCCCTGAAACTAAAATTATGATTGATCAAAAGCAATAAGAAACTTTAATTGGAAACCCCAATAACTTTAATTGGGAACCCCTAAAAGTAAAATTGTGAAAAAAAGGGAAAAAAACCGTCAAATTTACCTTGAATTGGTCTTCAGTCGGTGGGAGTTGTTGCTTGCATAAATTAAGAGCCAATGTAAATGAAAAAAAAATAAGTTTAAAGGAAACAGAAATAAGGGAAAGAGAAAAGAGAGGAGAGAGAAAGAAAGGAAACCAGCCATACATATGAAATAGAAACATGGGAGGGGGATGAAAGAGAAGGGTGAATTTTTAATGTTCTAATCTGAGCCGTTGGTGGTTACTAAAATCTAAGGGTGGAGATTTCTTTTCTCATTTCTTATTTATCATTCTAGCAAATCCCTATATAGGAAATCCCTATATATATATATATATATATATATATATATATTAGATTTTTTATCTAACAAATATTTGCCAAGTTAATTAGCTCTACAAAGCTAATTTGCTTGCCAAAGCTAATCATCAAGATGCATGTGCAACAATGGTGTAGCTACTAGCTTAAGATTTTTAATATTTGCAAGTTAGTCCCTTTTCCCAACCATTGGAGGTGCTTAAGCTACATGCTTGATTGGAAAAAAAAAGACAAATAAACTCCACTCATATTGTAACATGTGTACACTTATTTAATTATTTATTTTTTAAAATTTTATTTTTTGCAAATTACAAGATGTTGTAGTTTACCATTGGAATACTTTGTTGCTAAAGTTTTGTAGCTTAAAAATTGATGTGGAAAAGCAAGCTACTATCTCTGTTTTGTATTAGTTGCAACTTTGGAATATTTTATATTTCTCAAATAATACCCCAAAGTTGTCATTAATACAAAACGGAGGTAGTACAAAGCATTGTAGCTTGCCATTAATAGGGGGTGGTGCAATAAAAAATTTAGGTACTTAAAAGCTGGTTTAGTACGTAAATAAAAATACATAAAAGGTGGTTTTTTCAAAAAAGAAAGTTGGACAAAAAAGGTGATTTATACAAATTTCACCTTATTATTCGGTAATTATTTAGGATTGAATTTGTAGAATATAGGAGTAAACATTTTGTACAATTATGAAGTTGGAAAAATGACATTTTGCACCATTTATCCAACATTGCTTATGGTGATTTGCATTTTGGGTTCATTGTTAGTACTTATTATTAGTCCGACCTCACTCATGTGATTAACGCTTTTATTGATTGTTAGTACTTAGTAGTGTGATTGATGGCCTTGATGTTCTTAAGTTTTAATGGGATATTGATTCAGTTTGCCACAAATGCTGTTACTAATGCACTAGGATTATTGCTGTTCAGTCTTGATTTTTATAGGACAAAATCCTTTAATCTTCACGTCTGCTTTGTATGTATTAGTGGATTTACTGATAGTGTTGTTGTCGGAAATGCTCGTTTTTGTGACTTGATTTGATCAAGAAAGAACCTACAACTAACATTCTATTCAGACAGTGCTAATTGCTGTAGTTTGTGCTTGATCACAATTTCACAAACATAAACTATTAAAGTCTCTTCCCTTGTGTTTCAGACTTAACCAAATGTTGGGTTTCGAATTTTGTATTGTATAAAACATGACTATAGTTCAGACTTTTTGTTACAAATGACACTTTTTGTTACAAATGACACTATCTGTTGCAGTCGGATGAGGATACGCAGCACTTTCTAAGCATGCTTGAGGCTGCTGCTGAACGGGCTTTTGAGCGTATGCAGAGGTGTGTTGTCTTTCCTTTGCCTTTCAGTGTTTTAATTGGTTGAAATTATTTGCTGAACTTGTAAAACCATCAGTTTGTTTATTCTTTTTTGGCAAGGTAGTTTATGATGTTCATACATGTGAGAATTAGCTGCTGTTCTTTGGATCATAATCTATTAATATATCTGCATAAATTTATCAGACAGACTTTGAATTTGAATCTATTTGTTTCTGTTTTTTATCTTTTCGAAAATTATAGAGGATGGTTTCCGAATCCAGTACATGCAGTTGGTGTTCTGCCCTCCAAACAAACATTGCAGCATAGCCCGAGTTTTGCTGCAGCTAAGAGGATTCTGAAGAAATGAAGGTGTCTCATTGAATTTGTATCAATTATGTATATATATATGCCAAAGTTGCTTCATGTTCTACACTTCTACATAATGTATATCATATATCCCTTTATATCATATTTTAGATGAATTGCCTAGCATTTTCTACATAATGTAATCTTTTGTAATTATAATTATAATTTCTTCCTCTGTTTAAAATAAGATGCATTCATTATATAATTATTAAAGAGTTCAATTTTGCTGGCATATTATGGCTATTCCATATTACACTATTTGCACCTCTTTTGTACCATCTTTGTTTACAAGTTATATATAAGAAGAAAAAAAAAATTATGTCGATGTGAAATCATGTTAAAGTCGCTTAAATTGTCTCACTTATAATTTCAAGTTAACTTTTTATAATTTTTACTTATTAAACATCGGTTGATGTAAAATAGGAATCATGTCAACAAAAATAAAATGGAAAAAGCATATTTTATTAATCAATTTTTATATCCTTTGACCAGGTTGTTTTAAAAAAATTAAAAAAAAAATCCTTTGACTAGGGGTAAAAGAGTCATTTGGTCCTCTCTGTCGACATGGCAACTTTAGCTATTTTCTATCCTTTTTTTCGAACACAAATAAGTGGAGGCTAACGGTAACTTGATGGCGGCAGTCTGTCATTATTCAACATTCTAAAATTGCAAAAATCTGGTTTTTCCTTTCCTCAACCAACATTCAAACACAAGACAAAATAATCATGTTGGTTGATCCGCATCACTTTGATGGCTACCCTGTCCATTCCCTCTCCTCCTCTTCGCTTCACGACGTCGATTACAGGTTCTCTCCTCCCCCTTCTCTAGCTTCTTTCTTGTCAATTTCTCTGACATTCATTCGTTTATCTCATTATTCTGGACTGTTTTTTCTTTCCTGCAGCTGTGGTTCATGTGGGTATGATCTCAACCTCAATTCATGTAATCGTAATACCTCTGTGATCGGTTCAAAGTACTACGGAAAATCTATCAAAAAGGGCATCATTTCTTTCTTGTCTATAGACGAGACAAGGTTTAGTCGAACCCAACAGCTTAGGTGCAAGCCTTATTTCGAGTCAGCTCGTTCATGGGGGATATTTCAGCGAAGAACTAAACTGTTATGCCGGAAATGTGGCAACTATGTTGGAAATGATCGTAATTTTAGCAACTTTGGCCGTTCTCATTCTTCCAAGCAGAAAGATATATCCCCTGATACCACAGGTTCATGGGGATGGAATGGGGATTCAGATGCAGCCGGGACTTATGATATCAGGATTCGCGCTCTGCAGCCTTCTTCTTGTGACGAATCTAATATTTTCAGCAATGATATATGAATCAAATAATCTGTCAATTTTAATATATGATGAGTTTTCTATTGGTCCTGCAAATTAAGGATCAACTTTGTCTATGCTTTTTCAACTTTTGTTTTGGTTAGGCTGGGACTTAAGACTCTTGGCTCTTCCATGATGCCAGAAATATAAGCTGTGTTATATTTATTCAACCCAAGTTATGTCTATATCGTTTAATTTTGTAAGCCATTCCTGTGTATCTAAAGATACATAAGGTTTACATTCTGTACTTTCTTCAGCTTTATCACTATCAGATGAACCATTAGCAATTTTCTTGTCACTAGAAAGACTTGTCTGCTGCCTGTTGGGGTGCCTTAATTTGAGCGACAGAAGACGGGATACTTCATGTAGGCCGCCCCATTTTTCAAGGGCACGGGCAATGTCATACCGTCCTGCAAAAATAAAATTCTTCTCAGTTTTTTATATCTTGCAGGAAACTAAAACCAAAAGCCTACCAAAAAGGCAATAAGTGAATTTTTTTTTCTGGAAACAAAGCTGTCCAAATATATACAGGTTGGGAAGTAATTAAGCAATAATAGTTTGACCTGCGCGTTCAAATGCTTTTCTGCTGGGCATATATGATGGATCCATCCCCCAGTTCTTTTGAAATCGATGAATCTGAAATAGACAAGGAGTAGATACTTTTATTAAGAATCTAAAAAATTACATAAATGTTCTGTTATCTTACTAAAATTGATCAGACATAGGGAAATAAACGAGCAGAATTCTAGAACTTACCTCCACCTGCAAATTTTCAAGATTGTCCCAATAACCTTTGGGTTTTCGATGTTTATAAGCAAGAGACAGGTTCATCAATGTTGCAATCCTCCTAAAACCGCCCATCCGGTTGATTGCCTTTTCAATGTCAACCCTACCATGAGAACGGAGTTGCTTCCTCATGGGCATGAACCCATCCTGCCCATGCTCAGAAACAAATTTCAGGAGCTCAGACTTTAGAACTTCAATGTCCTGTTGCAAGCCAGGGACTCTAGGCTTTTGCTTTATGGAAGTTGAACTGCTACTGCTCAATTGAATTTTCACATTCCTTTGATCAGTTTTGCCTCCACTAGAAGAAGTGTTAGGCTGCACTTTGCAAGTTTCATCCTTCTGTTGCTCCACATGTGGTTCATCATGTTCGTCAGAACTTGTTCCCATCCTCTTCTCAATGTAGTCTCGAATTGCACATAAGTTGGACGGAAGATCCTCATATATAACCTACATATTCATATTGAATTGTTCATCATCTCTTCCAAGCCAATATAACAGCATCATCCAATTGTAAGCATTAAAAAATACTCTATGCCGAATTGTTAACACAAGAGGCAACCAGATTGCAATCAGATAACAACCCGATTTTAACAACTTCTTGAATCCTAACCCCGTGGATAATTAATTACTAAAGTTGAAGTTTTAGCATACCTCTTCCATAATTGATTCTGAGAGAAAAGTATCTTGGCGCATTTTTGACTCCACAGAGTACTTTAGCAATGTGTGATGGTTCCCGAGCTGCTCAAGCTGCCACCTGCCATGGAAAGAGTCAAAATCTCCCTCAACTTGCTCAAAGCTAATTTCTTGCTCAAGCTGTTCACACAAGTCCATGACAACCCGTGCATGGAGTACCATATATAGTAGACCCTTGCATCCTTCCTGTGGAAAAATGCGTAAAAGAACTTCACTCACTTTAATAAAAATAGAATAAGCTTTAAACAAGGTAATAGCTATGGGGGAGAAGAGCATAGAATTTTTAGGTTTATGATTTCAAGACAATGATGCAATGGATATAAGAAGATTGCCTATTATGTTAATACAAACTAGAATTAAAAACATATCCTGTTTTTACCTGAAGGATGCGAACTTTGTTGTTATCTCGAAATAAAACTTTGCTGATTGCCAAATTTGGAACTATCCTGCAGAAACATATAGCTTAGTTAACTAGGACTGAAAAGCCTAATGCAAAGAAGCAAAAACCACAGGTCAAGTGTTTTTATTTTATTTATTTAATTTTATTATTATTATTTTATTTATAATCTTAGCCAAGTAACAATTCTTTCAGGTTGCCTTGGGTTGATCTTCATGGAAACATCATTCAACTAAACAGATTACTTTTGTTTACATAACGAAGTTTTGGAATGGTCAGCACAGAATTATTTCAGAAAGATGGTTAATTCAAGTCATAAGAATGTGTATATAAAAATAAATTCATCCAAGGCAAGCATTTTGATCAATTTATCCGGGATGAACGTTCTCCATCCCAAGATAAAGTTTAAACAAAATTCAGGCAAAATTAATTAAACTTGTGAAAAAAAAAAACTGTCAAGCACAACTAAACTGAAGAAAAGAACTAGACAACATTCTGATTCATGCAACAAATTGGCTTTACTCACTCTGGAAGACTTTCATAAGTAGTTAATACATCCCAGACTTCACGAACAGGAGCTTTAACAGTAATGCTAGCAACAACACAGCGATGAACACCACCATTTTCCTTCAGTACATAAGTTGTTGTCAGATAGACATAGCAATTAGCAACAATGAGATCCTCTTCATCAGGAAAATCAATTGAAAATAGTTAAAGTCAATTAATTACCAATAGGCCATCAAATCGACGAAGATGAATCTCATCCACTAAGCAGGGTTTGTCAAGCCTACAAACTTTACCATATATCCCCCAAGTACTATTCAACTCAGAAGGTGCCTGGGGCAAGGGCCCAAGGATAGAACTGGAGGAATTCTTCTTTAGCTCCTCTGTAGACATATCTTTCTCTTTTAAAGTACTTGGCAAGCTAGTGCTACTAGTATTAACAGAATTTCTGCTTTTTGAGCTAACTAGTTTAGGCATCTTCTGATTTCCCACAACAATGCTCTCAGCTCTGCAAGCCAAGGCTCGAAGATTCACAGGCAGGTCTGATTGAATAATCCTCTCCAAAAAAATTGCTGGAAAGTTGAACTTTGGTATGACATTGACCTCGTAAGATAGTGTTGTCTTAGACGAGGATCTGAGATTATGCAATACAGAAGCATGTCAAAATAGTACAAATATTGAAATTTGCAGGTTTTCTTAAACAACAAAAGCTGTCTCATTCAGAAAAGCTACTTTCAGTGGAAGACATAACAAATTGTATAAGGATAATATTTCTAAAGGTTCTCACAATTCCAGTTGCACAAATCACTGATATAACTTCTAAAAGTTTGCAAGCAATATCTATATGTGAACAGACAGAATAGATATTCAGTCAGTGGCACCCTCACAGAAAATTTGTCCATAGTCTAATCAGAGTTCATAACAGATTAAGAGATCAACACATTTAGCTGTTACTTCAAGATTTTCGACAGATGAAATGGCCCTTTTTTTCCTTCTTTTTAATCCTGCTTCTATAATCATAGAGAATGGCAGACCTAACTATCAATGTATCATACACATGTGATGAGAATCATTATAGTTTTGACTTGATTAGTCATTCCTTCATCATTGTTCTCACTTCTCAATGTGTAAAGCTCCAGTTAAAGATGATATTAAAGTTGCCTCTCTACTCTAAAACTATTATCCTAAACTTAGAACAGCTACAAATTTAATTAAGAGTGAACCCTAAAATTTCATTGGGAACAGTTATCATACCTTCTCTTTGATTTTACCGACCATTTTCCTTCAAACTTCTTGAAGTCTCCATCCACCATGGAGAAATGGAGTTCATGGTCACTTGGCTGCATCAGAATCGATAATTACTTTTTGATGTTAAAAAAATGGTTTACATCCATAGTGTTAGATAGGTCATAAACAAGTTTCCATGCAAAATATCTATATAGATGTGAAGCCACAACAATTGGGTACATAAAGAAAGTTCTGTAAATTTGAGGCTTTGAGCTATTGGCAGTAGATTATAAATCTAACATATCTTTATAAATGTTCACATTATTTTTCTACTATAAAAAACTATTAAAGCCTAAAAAAAATTTAAAATCAAATTTACTTACTCCCTCCCTCCCTGTACAGCTTGAATTAGTCACATATAGCTACAGAGATGCAATAAAAAGTTTTTAAGAACTCACTGAATTAGGAAATTCTTTGAGATCCAAGACAACACGAGCTTCAATATGCCAATACAATGCCCTTTGGAAGCCTCTTTGCTCTAACCACAGTCTACCAGGATACGGACAAGGAATTCTTCCACTGGCAAATGGCAATAGTAGGCCATAGAATAACCATTAAACAAAAGCATCAGAATGAAGCAGGTTGGAATGTAAAAAAGTGTTTCACAAGAGACAAAAATACTTTCACCGCTAATTACAGTAGACACTGGGGTAAACAAGAGGAACAAACTTATCATGAACATCATATGTTAGTAAGGCCGTGAGAGCGCAACTTGTTCCAATATCAAACCTCTTATACCTCCCTTATTACTACATACATTTCATAGGGATATATAATAAGAATTACTTTGGGAATAATGCACCATTGAGTCGTGATCTTGGGCATCCGCTACAACCCAAATCACAGGGTAAAATTCACAACTAAGTTGATATTTACAAGCTATGATCCCTTAATATGTCGAACAAACCAATGAAACATTCATCAGATCCAGTGGTAAACAGCAAAATGTCAAACATTAGTTAACTTCTAACATTTAACAACAAGATATTACTCCTTTTTACCATCTTAGCAATATCTATTCTTTTTGCCAACATACCTTAAATTATTAGTCTGTTTAGATCAATTATCTGCTTGTATACAACACTCACTACTCTCTCTATCTCAATTTAACTTAGACATCTATATATTCTCGAGAAACATAGTCTACTAATTAAGAGAGCTCTAGCTAAAATCAACCTTACCAAGATACTAACAATTAAGAGAACTCAAGCAAAAACTAACTTTACATGAATTTTTTTGGACAAACTAGAATCATTAACATATTGTTGCGCCAAAACGGGGATGCCCCAGTTTCTCATAACGAGAAACAAAATTTATTTGCACATGGCATTTTCGTAAATAATCCAACTTTATTCAATTGTAGAGCCCATAATAATGAAAAAAGTGTTGATTTATTCACGAAAATGCCCCTACGAGGAAACAAATTTCGCAGGGAATTTCCCCAAAACAACTTTTGTATTCTTACCAACAACTCATTAACTGTTATATAATCGGAATTGCTTCTATAATACTCCCTCCCTTCCATAATTCTCTATATTCGCTTTAAAGGCTATCGTAAACATACGAAAAACCAACTCAAGAGTAATGATTCCATCAAATTTATACAAGTAACAAAAACTATAGCATAAAAATATAAAACAAATTAAAGATGAAAGATTACCTACAAACAAGATTAGGTACAAAATCAGCAAGGCGTTCATAATCAGTAAGAGCATTCCAAACCGATTCGACATCGGAATTGACAGTAATCTCCGCCTTAATCCGACGCTCTCTCCATGAAATCACTTCAACCTCACAATTCACCTTCCGATCCCAATTTTCTCTCTCCTCCACCACTTGCTGTTGTTCACCAACATCTCTGTTCCCTGCTCTTTCAAATCCGCCATTAACGGCGAAAGCATTAACAATCACTCTCCCCTGTTTTCTGCAAAATCTAGGGTTCGGATTAATCTCATAATTGTCAAAAGTGTAGATTGATGTTTCGGATGAAACGTTTCGAAGCGAGAAAATGTAAGGTTTGGCGGGAAATTGGGGATTAGGGTTTGTAGTAAAGGAGAGAGAAATTGGATTGAAGATGTAGGAAATCATGGAGTTTGATACTTGATTTTTTTGTGAATTTGCAATAGATTTTTTTTTTTTTTTTTTTTTTTTTGTATTTTTCAGTGTTCAAGTACAAGAGAGTGAGAGAGGTGGTTAAGGACCGTTAATTGGGTGATTTTGGCGCTGAGTGAAGTGAGGAAGTTGTGGTTTGGAGTTAGGGGTTTGTTGGTCATTTCCATATTTAACTTGTGGTTGAAAGTTTACAATTTTTTTATTTTTTATTTTAAATGAAAGGGACATTGTCACTTAAGTATAGCTTATAAAAAAATTGATCCGAATTGAATTAAATACTATCAATACTTACTGCCTTGATTTTTGCCTAAAAAACTCACATAACACTGTTTTTTCTACTCATTCAACTTTACATAGTAAATTTTTGGAGTGAAAATGTACATAGAAACAAGTGAATTGATAATTATGAAAATGAATTGCGATAAAAACTTGTCATCTTTTAACACTATGTGAGGTAGGAAATAGAGAATGTGTCCAAATGCGTATCATGTGGCGTGTGGCACAACTAAGGCCAACCTAGACACCTAGTAAAAATACTTAAAACCAATAAGTCACAGATTTTCCAGATTTCAGATCAGCCAATAAGGCAATAACCTAACACAAGATAAGGAAATGCTGCTTTCAGGAAATAGCTTCTTGTGCACCCATATTTCCCACAGAAAAAAAGGAAAGAGATTTCTCACAACATTTGCAAAAAAGCCCAATTTTCCAGAAAACAAGCAGAACCCCAATTTCAAATTCAAGATCTCTAGCAAATTATTGACTCAATCTGCCATTGGAATTCTGGGATTAGGATTTGTTGATGCAGGGTAATAATACTTCCTTCCCTAAATTTCATACTTTTATTTACTATGTATTGTAACTTAATTTGTGATTATTACATTGAATTAATTTGTCAGATATAGTGGAGATTGGTCGAGAATTGGAGTGATTTCAAAAGGAACGGAGGATTTGCTGAAGATTGCAGCTTTTTTAGTGGTACCTCTCTGTTTGTTTGCTATATTATCTGTTGCTAAAAACCCAGAAAATTAACGTCTATAATTCTTTATTTCTCGTATTTTTTTTTACTATACATGTATGATTGTATGCTATGTGTAACAATATTCTCATATCATAGAGTAGTGTTTAACGAATAACAAATCAACAACTAATTAGAACTTAGAATAACTTAAATGTCTAACGATGTCTATGCCATGCTCAATTTATTATTTTTATTTTTATTTGGTGCGGTAAATTATTATTATCATTAGGAAAATGCTACATATAGCCATTAGGGCTATATGCCTACATATAAGCATTTAATTTACTTTCCCTTAAAAAAAAAAAAAAGCATTTAATCTACTCTAGAAAATTGTTTAAATTTAGAAAATCACAACAAAAACACACTAATTACACCGATTTGCGCGTGTTTTTGTGTTTTTGTCATGAATTACTAACTTTATACATTTTTCAATAGTAAATTTAATGCTTATATATAGCCTTAACTAAGAGCTTAAGAGCTGTTTGGGGTAAAAATACCCTAAACACGTGGCCCAATGGCCTGGTGACACGTGGCACCCAGCCGTTGGTCAGCAGGGCTCCAATCCTCTGCTGACACGTGTCCTCTAAACCCTAAAAGGGGAACCATCCCTTCCCCACTATAAATAGTGGAAGGACCCTCATTAATGAACAAGGAGGAAGGAGCGAAAAACATTCATCACTCACATTGAATACTCCTCAAAAAGAAAAACACTTACCCCGAGCAATATTAATTGCAGAATTCTCCCATTACGCGAGAAGTAACTTCTACATTACGTGCATCCTACCTCCCGTATCTTTACTAACTTGATCGTCGGAGGCGGAGCTCCTACCCCCAGGAGTCTTCGCGATTTTGCAGGCACAGGCGTCGAAGGGCATTCTTGGAATTGTAACTCTCCCGCAGGACACATCAAAAAAAACCCCGAAACATTTGGCGCCGTCTGTGGGGAGAGTACTTCTAAGATGACTTCTGATACTGTGTCACCGAATCAGGGCAAACGGCCTGTGGTCCAGACGGACCATGAAAGTGGAGATGAAATTGAAACATATGTGGCCCCGGATGGGTCCTTCAGAACGAAGCACACTCGTGCTAAAGATAGAAGAGAACGGGAAATCAGCCAAGCTGCTCCCAGCAACCCAGCCGGGCAACCGGCTGGAATTGCCCAGACGGTGGAGGGCTCAGCTCCCGTTACAAGAAACGAACTCATGTCATTCATGAATAGTTTCAAGGGTGAGATCAAGAGCCTCATCCGGTCAGCTACTCCAAAGAAGGGTCAGCCGGCCAAGAAGCCTTCTGGAAAGAAGGCGGTCAAAGAACGAGTTCCTACCCCTCACCCAAAGCCAAAGGAGGGGGAGGGCCTAAGGTTTGACCCGAGCAGACTCCGTTTTCCTCAAGGGGAGCTGCGAAAGGCCATCCGGCACGTCCAGCCGGATGGCTCCAAGAAAACATTCTCAGATGCCCGCACATTTCTCCAAGAGAAGCGAGGTCAGGCGTCTGCGTCGGCCTCAACGTCGACCTTCCCGGACAGTTTCCCTGACGTCTCACAAAGGCGTACGGGAACGAACCCTGGGAGCCAGATGGGCGAAGTTTCTACCCGGTCTGGACCCAAAGTGATCCAGCCTGGCCTATTCGGCACACCGAATGGGTTGGGTGGATCCCCTTTTATGTCACCGGGTCTTTTCGGTGGGCAAGCGCAGCAGCCGTACCAACCCACGGACTGGCAGCTGCGCCTGCTAAATTTGGGGGAACAGCCAACGGCGTTCTCACCTGAGATAACCCAGGCGGCACAGCCGCCTAAGATCAAAAATGTTTTGGTGGGGGCCTCTGACGGCACCACCAATCCAGAGGACCATCTAATGGCCTACTCTAACCTCATGTACCTTCAGGGGTTAGATGATGCCGTCTGGTGTCGATGCTTCCCGGCTACCCTCAAGGGCATAGCCCAGCGGTGGTTTGGTAACCTACCAGCCGGTTGCATCAACAGCTTTCGAACTTTGGCGTACTTGTTTACGTCAAATTTCTCAATGAATATTCCTGCCAAAAAGACTAGCCTCGACCTAGGGGCAATACAGCAGGGCGACCGGGAGGGCCTCCGGTCATACGTCAGACGGTTCAATCTGATGAAAATTCAGATTCCAGGACTATCAGACGAAGTGGCCTATACAGACTTCTTTCGAGGTCTGAAGGATGGGTCGACCTTTAAGTTTGACCTCGTCCGGAAGAGGGTTGCTACCCTCCAAGAGGCGTTAATTGAAGCTGAAGCCTATATACAGGCGACGGAGCTTTGTGCTGTCAAGCAGCCGTCAGATTCTAAAAAGTCTGACAAAAAAGAGAGCCGGCAACAGCATCAGCCGGCAAGAAAGGAAGAAAAGAGAAAAGGGGTCTGGGCAGCTGACCGATCAGGGCAGCCGGCCCAGAAGATCAGGCGGAAGTCAGAACCGTATGTCCCCAAATACGAGTTCACAAAAGATTGCTCCACCATCCTCCTGGAAATCAAAGACCGGATGTCTCTCGACAAACCGGCTGAAATGAAAAGCCCCGTGAATAAACGGGACAAGAGCAAGTATTGCCAATACCACGAGGATGTTGGCCACGACACCAATGGCTGCTATAGCCTCAGGCGGCTATTGGACCGTCTGGCAGATGAGGGGGCCCTAAAATCCTACCTACCCAAGGCTAAGGGTAATACCCAGGCCAAGAAAGGGCAGGCGGCAAAAACCGGCCCAGTAAACTCCGAGACGGATGAAGAGACCATCTTCACCATAGCAGGCGGTTTTGCCGGAGGGGGTCCCTCCATCCGGGGCACCAAAGACAACATCAGGAAGCTGGTCAACTCAGTGGATGAGGGCCAGGCGTCGAAAGACATCTTCCCTGAGGTCCTTATTTCTGAAAAGGACCGGGGCAAGGTCAGGCGGCCTCATGATGACCCCATCGTCATCGAATGCAAGGTTGCCAACCAGAAGGTTGGCCGGATCCTAATAGACACCGGGAGCTCGTCTGACCTAATCAGTTGTCAGTGCTTGACCTAGCTCAAGTACACATCCGGTAACATGCACCAGGCTCCTCACCCACTAGTCGGTTTTGGGGGTGGAGTAGTGCATCCGGTCGGAAGCATAGATCTTCCGATCCGGCTGGGTGAAAAGGGGCAAGGACGCCACATGATAGTCAAGTTTTTAGTTGTGGAGGAGCTGTCCGCCTACAACATGATATTTGGCCGTCCTACCCTCAACGCATCTAAGGCTGTCATCATCCCGTCCCTCATGTTGGTCAAGTTTCAAAAGGATGATGGTACAGTCGGTGCCCTAAGCGGGGACCAGAAGACGGCAAGAGAGTGCTATCTCTCTGACGTCAAGACAACTATGGGTGCAGCCGGCCAGGGTGAGCCCATAGATATTGATAACTGCGACCCAGCAGTCCCGGCTCCAAGGGCAGCCGGTAAGAAAAGAAAGGCGGACCAACTGGCACCCGTCAAAAAGGAGAAATAGCAATCACTAGCCGGGGAAAGGTCAGATGACCAACGACCTCAGCCGGCTGGTGACTGCCTTGATGTCATCCTAGATGACAGCCGTCCCGAAAGAACAGTCAAGGTTGGGACGGTAGCCTTCGAACGGTTGGGAGAAGGCTTGCTCCAGCTGCTGAAGGAATTCAAAGACATCTTTGCCTTTGAAGTGGAAGAGATGCCAGGCGTCAGCCCGGATCTTGCTGTCCACAAGCTAGCCGTAGATCCCAAAAAGCAGCCGGTTAGGCAGAAAAAGAGGGATCATGGTGGAGAAAGATCTCAAGCGGCAGCGGCTGAGGTCAAAAAGCTGTTGGATGCTGGGTTCATTAGGCAATGCTACTACCCGGATTGGGTGGCAAATGTCGTTCTAGTAAAGAAGCCGAACGGTACTTGGCGGATGTGTGTGGATTACACAGATCTGAACAAAGCATGCCCAAAAGATAGCTACCCGCTTCCAAAGATTGACAGCCTAGTCGACTCAACAGCCGGCCATGCGCTAATGAGCTTTATGGATGCCTATTCCGGCTTCCATCAAATACCCCTCTGGAAGAAAGATCAGGAGAAGACGGCTTTCGTCACTGATCAGGGGTTATTCTGCTATACGGTGATGCCGTTTGGGTTGAAGAATGCACCGGCTACATTCCAGCGCATGATAAACACTGTTTTTATCAACCAGATTGGCAGGAATGTAGAGGCGTATATCGATGACATGATAGTCAAATCCAAGCTACAGACGGATCACCTAACAGACCTGCGAGAAACCTTCACCACACTCAGGCGGCACCGGGTCATGCTTAACCCAAAGAAATGTGTATTTGGTGTTGAGTCTGGGAAGTTTCTCGGATTCTTGATTGACCAAAAAGGCATTGAAGCTAATCCGGAAAAAATACAGGCAGTAATTGACATGAAGTCTCCCCGCACTGTAAAAGAGGTCCAGAAGTTGACCGGTTGCCTGGCGGCATTGGGGAGGTTCCTCAGCCGGTCAGGTGACAAGTGCCTCTATTTCTTCCAGGCAATCAGGAAGAGGTCAAGGTTTGAATGGGGTGAAGAAGCAGAGGCGGCATTCCAGAGGCTTAAGCAGCACTTGCATTCTTTGCCAAGGCTAGTGAGCCCCCTACCCCGGGAGGTTCTGTACATGTACCTAGCCGTCTCTGATCACGCCCTTAGTGCCGTTCTCCTCGCTGAGAGAGACGGCATTCAGCTGCCGGTGTACTTCATCAGCCATGTCCTTAAAAATGCTGAGCTCTGGTACCCCATGATCGAAAAATTTGGGTTGGCCTTATTCGTAGCAGTCAAGCGGTTGAAGCCTTATTTTTTGGCACATCCGGTTGTGGTATACACAGATCAGCCGCTCAAGCGCACAATGACTGCTATAGAGTCATCCGGTAGAATGATCAAGTGGGCTGTTGAAATACAAAGCCTTGAGATAACTTTTGAACCCAGGCGGGCAGTGAAAGGTCAGGCGTTTGCCGACTTCATTGTCGAGATGACTAGGCCGGTGCAACCGGAAAATCTTGATCAGGTCTGGAAGCTATTTGTAGACGGCAGCTCTACGGTGAACGGCTGTGGTGCAGGTGTTATCTGTCATTCCCCGGAAGGGGATAAGTTTGAATATGCACTACGGTTTAAGTTCCAAGCCTCCAACAATGAGGCAGAGTATGAAGCTCTACTAGCCGGATTGCGCATGTGTAAGGCAGCCGGTGCAAGAAAGGTTGACGCCTGCTCAGATTCACAGCTGATCGTTAGCCAATACCTTGGTGACTACGAAGCCACCCATCCGGCTATGATCAAATATTTGCAGGCGGTTAAGGAAGAGGCTGGGTCCTTCGATGAATTTCATCTGCGACAGGTGCCCCGGTCTGAAAACAATCAGGCGGATGCCCTCTCAAAGTTGGCATCATCAGCCTCCTGTGATGCTCCTAGGACGGTCTTTTGGGAAGTCATTGAAAAACGAAGTATTCAGAATGATCCCATTGGAGTCCTGGACAGAAGTGCTACTTGGATGGATCCCATCCGGTCTTTCTTGACGGATGGTTCTTTACCGGATGATCCTTCAGAAGCATCAGCGCTCAAGAAGCGTGCTTCAAGTTTTGTTATGCATCAAGGGGAACTCCTCCGGAGGGGTTACCTGTAGCCGTTTTTGAAATGTGTAACCCCGGCTAGGGGGAGAGAAGTTTTGGAGGACCTGCATGCGGGGTTTTGTGCTTCGCATATTGGCGGCAGGTCCCTTGCCAGAAGAACCAGGCGGCAAGGGTACTTCTGGCCCACTCTTGAAGCGGATGCCATGGATCTAGTAAAGAGATGCGACAAGTGCCAAAAATTCGCTAAGTTGATACATCAACCGGCAACAGATCTCACGGCAATCTATAGTCCGGTTCCGTTTGCTAAATGGGGCATGGACATTTTGGGACCTTATACGCCTGCGACAGGCGGCCGCCGCTACATTCTTGTAGCAGTAGACTACTTCACCAAATGGGTTGAGGCAGAGGCGGTAAAAGGGATTAAAACGAAAGACGTGATTTCTTTCATCTGGAGAAACGTCATCACCCGGTTCGGGGTTCCAATGTCCATGGTTTTTGACAACGGACCGCAGTTCGAAACGCCTGTTCTCAAGACCTGGTTGGGAGACCAAGGAATTTCCCATTGTTTTGCATCCGTTGGCCGTCCTCAGGCAAACGGTCAAGTTGAGGCTTTTAACAAGTTGATCTCAGACGGGATAAAGAAGAAAGTAGAAAGAGCCGGTGGACTATGGGCAGAGGAATTACCTCATGTCCTTTGGGCTATCCGGACAACCGAAAAGGGGGCAACCGGTGAGACCCCATTTCTCATGACATACAGCACTGAAGCAGTTCTTCCCATTGAACATTATGAGCCTACTCTACGCATTATGTTATATGATGAGGAGGCTAACTGGGAAGCCATGCGGTTGGCATTAGATGCTCTCCCAGAGCGAAGGGGGAATGCTGCCCTGCGTCATGAGATCTACCGTCTGCGTATGACTAGAGCCTACAACAAGCGGGTTCGTAAAAGACCTTTGAAAGAAGGAGATTTTGTGCTTCGCAAAATGGAGGCAACCGGTAGGGCCAATGAACAAGGCAAATTAACCCCAAATTGGGAGGGACCCTACCGGATCTTTGAAGAAGTACGAGACGGCACTTACCGCCTGGAAACTCCAGATGGAAGAAAGCTGCCTAGAACTTGGAATGTAGATAACCTCAAAAAATACTACTTCTAAGTATTGTACATCTTTTGTAAATTTTCAAATGATTGAGAATTACATTCAATTTTGTATATAGTCGCCATGTCTTGTGCCTACCACAAGCGGCACCAGTAACTAATTTTTTCATCCGGTGACACCCATACGGGTGAATTCATCGAAGAGAACATCTCCCATTTGGGTGGTAAATTGTTCTAAGCGATCACACAGGCGGACAAACCCGCCTGACGATCCCTCGCACCAAAAAAGGGCAGGCTAGCAACCCCAAACTTGCAGCCGGCTCACTTTTTGGAAGTACCACTAAAGGCTGATTCCAAAATTCAGCCGGTACTCAATACCGCCGCCTGACTCTCTAAGAGCAGGCCTAAAAACATTTGGTCTAGGCCATAATTCATTCAGGGGTATGCTTGCAAAAGCCCAACCGGTGAATGGACATCCTAATCTGGCGTGATTCTTTTGCGAAGTCCCGACCGGTAATTCAGTATAAACCGACTGGCTCCCGAATCTAATTCGTGCTATATCATATGGATAGCCGCCTGGCTTGCAAAGACTCAGACCGCTATCCAGGGGAAATTACCCAGACGCCATCCGGTTCGGTTTTGGGTCGAAATTTCTTCGCCTAGTTTGCGAAGACCCAGACGGCAGTGTTACCGGTGGGGTCTTCTGGGCAACCCTAGCAAATTTCTTCGCCTAGTTTGCGAAGACCCAGACGGCAGAATTACCCAGACGTCATCCGGTTTGGTTTTGGGTCGAAATTTCTTCGCCTAGTTTGCGAAGACCCAGACGGCAGTGTTACCGGTGGGGTCTTCTGGGCAACCCTAGCAAATTTCTTTGCCTAGTTTGCGAAGACCCAGACGGCAGTGTTACCGGTGGGGTCTTCTGGGCAACCCTAGCAAATTTCTTCGCCTAGTTTGCGAAGACCAAGACGGCAGTGTTACCGGTGGGGTCCTCTTGGCAACCCTTGCAAATTTCTTTGCTGTTTGTGAAGACCCAAGCGGTAGTGTTACCGGCGGGGTTCTTTTGGTTATCCTCGCAGAAATATGTATAAAAAAAAAATGACAAGAATTCTAGTATTGAAGTGCAGAAACATAAAAAGCATTCAAAAGCCAAGTGTGAAAAACAGAGTGCATTCAAAAGCCGGCTCAGCCGGTGAAAATGTTAATATTCAAAATAAAAATTATTACAGCCGAGTAGCCCGTCTCATCCGGCGCTATTACAAGATAATGCAAGGCGCGCAGGCCGGGAGGTGGATGCTACTCGAGGCGAACAGTGAACCGGTCCTCTTCCGGTTGGTTCAGGGTAGGATCAGGGTGAGCGGCTGCGTCGGCTTCAGGAACAACTTCTTCCTCTTCAGCAGCCTCCGCCTGCCGTCGCGCAATCTCCTCCCTAGCCCAAGCGTCACAGGGTCCGGGCCCCGGCTCATTCGCCTCCTCGGCCAGAATGGCAAGATCAGAATATTTGAAGGCGAGTTCCCAGACGGTGAAGTCCGCCTCCGGGTGGATGAGGGAAAACGCCCGTTGCATCCGGTTTGCACAATCATGCTCATTCTCCTCAATGAGCCTCTCCTGCTCCGCCTCCAAGGCGGCCTTGAAGTTCTTATTGGCAACAGCCGCCTCTTTGATCAGCCGCTCATTCTCTTTGGCAAGGCGGCCATTTTCAGTCTCCGCCTTGCTCAGCCGTTGGAGGGGTTCTTTCTGTTCCTCCAACTTTTTATTGGCATCATCCAGGGACGCCTGCAGTTGGTCAACTTGGTTTTTCAGTTGATCAATCTGCTGTTGGAGGGCCTTGGTCTTCTCCGCCTGTTCCATGCGTATAGATTTAGATTCTAAGCCATGCATGTACAAAGAGTAGTCAGCAACATTATGGGCGTCATCAACAGCCCGTTTGCTTCTCCTTACCTCTTCAGACTTGCGGGTATAAGCTCGTTTGAGCCCCTCTACGCGCAGCATAGCCTGCAAAAATACAGCCGGTTAATACTGCATATTTAAAAATGCACGTCAAGAAAATTACCGCATGGTTGTAGGAGCATACGTCGGCCAGGTCGACCAGCACCCGGTCGGCATTAAAGGAGTTGATCCCAGGGATCGCCTCCTTCTCGTCCCTGGGGACGGCTTTCAGCATGGCCCGGGCATATTGTGCCCCGTCCGGCCAGCGGGGAGAATTATCTGCACCAGAAACAGACGGTGAGAAACTCGCATATGCTCTGCCTATAGATTGCCGGCTGATTGGAGAATCCCCCGGCTGCGATCGAGACTGTGAATAAGACTTGACCCGCATGGGCAGGTCAAGCAGTGTAAGGTCGAAGTTACCTTGGCGGCCCGAACGGCCTTCAGAGGGACCGGTTGCGGTCCTCAATGGGATGGCAGAAAGCACATCCGCAGATCCAGGCCCGCCTGGGACTTTTATTGATTTGCCGCCGGTAGTTTGCCGGTCGGCTGTCTTCTGCACCTTGGATGCAGACTCTTGTTGGGTCGGCGGAGGCCTGACCTGTTTTTGAAGGGACCGGGGCATCTGCTTCCCGTCCTGTAAACGAGAAAAATATAAGTTATGGGATAAAAGGATTGAAGTCAACGAGAAGGATCAGACGGTTATACCTTCCTCGCCGCCTAGGCAGCAAGTTTTTTCTCGAGATTGGCTTTCCGGATGTCGGCAGCCGACCTAGCCGGTGTCTTCTCGGTGGGCAGCATTTTCTTGGCTTCTTCTGCAAAGGCAGGCACATGGTTAGAATAATAAACAAACAGGGAAATAAAAGCATCCGGTTCGAAAGAAACCGGCTGAGTTCCGAATGCATACGTTTTTTAAACATGTTGCTTAGACCACAAGCGGACAAGAAGCATTCGTCCCTAAAAAATTCATGTTTGGGCACCCAGTTTCTAGGTACCCTTATTATCTCTCCAGATGAGAGGGTGTCAGGAACTAACTCAAAAAACCCGGAGTCAAGGATGGTCTCTCTATCATCCTCCGGGACAGGGGGCAGGCAGCACTTGGTTCCCAAGAGTTCTGGTTTCCGGTTGTAGATCCGGAATTCTCTGTTCTCTGCCGTAGTTGGGGCCTTAACCAAGTAGAACCGGTGCTTCCAGTCCGACCATTTGGATGGCTTGTCCAAGGTCATAAGGTATTTGGGCTGGGTGGTCAAGGTATACCAGGCTCTCCATCCGCCTGGGCTCCTACTCAAGTAATGCATGTGGGCAAACGCCTCCCAGCCGGGGTTGAGGCCCTGCATCTCGCAGGCGGCGATATACCCTAAAATATTTACCCATGAGTTGGGGGTTAATTGCCAGAGACCTAGGCCATACCCCCTAAGTATGGCTTTTATTGTGTCGTGGAGAGGGAAGCGGACTCCGGCCAAGAAGGCCACCTCGTAGCACCCGAACCAAGCGTTCGCGTTCGGTTGTCCATCCTCCCACCATATTGTTCCCAGAGCAGCCGGGATTTTTATTGTATAGTCACCCCCCAGCGGCCGCCGTTTGATAAAATCTGGCAGCGCAGCCCGCATGAGCTCGCGGTCCTTAGAGGAGACGACGATCATAAGAGGATCGTTCCTATTATCCCAAGAAGGCCTCTCCGCCTCCTCGCTATCCTCAGATTCGGTTAAGTAGCTACTACTGCTACTTTGAACGCGACCGGCATCAGAGCCGGCTGGGGAGTGGGAGACCTCCTTATCAGAGCCTGCCTGCTCTCTGGTCTCCTGGAGGGGAGCAGTCTCCTCATTTAAAATGCTATCACCCGGGGTGCTAGGAGCGCCCCCGGGTGAGCTTCTCTGCTCTACCTCTCCTTGCTCTACTTCACCGCCTGAAGCTGGGACCTCAGGCGGCTGCTCATCTGAGCTCCCACTTCTGTAGTTGGGATCTCTGGCAGTAGACCGGATTCTGGCCATTGTGTCCTGCACAGACACAGAGTCGGTCGGTATGGGTATTGAAAAAGGGTTGTCCCAGAGAACAGAGGCGGCAGACCTAGTTCTAGACTCAGCCGTACTAATAAACCGGCTGAGTTCACAGCTAGGTTCCGGGTATGGGTATAAGGGGTCCATCTACTTATGGGACCAATGAACAAAAATGCGAGTAAAAGACTCAAACGGAAATACATGAAAAAGCTAGAAAGAATAGAGACGGTACCTAGAAGAAAATCTGGAAATTCTTTGGGATGCTTGCGAAGACGCAGGCGGTTCAAAATCCGGCTGGGTTTCTCTGATTACCCTCTCGAAAACCTTTGGCTAGCTTGCAACGACCCAGACGGTCTGTAGACCGGTTGCTCTCAACCAATCTCAACTCCGAATGCTCTCAACTCTCAAATTGCCGGCTGCTCTCAAATTTTCAGAAATTTGGCAAAGTTTGTAAATGAGAGCTCGGGGGGCATCTTCTCCTATTTATAGGATTTGTCCCAAAAGGTGAAGAGTCGTGACTCTTCGCCTTCTGCTTTTCCATCCTTCAAAAAGAATCTGAAGAGTTGTAAAAAAAAAAAAAAAAAAAACCTTTCACCGGCGCCACGTGGCACCCTGCCACGTCAGCACCAGTGAGGGGCAAATGTTTGGGGTAAAAATACCCTAAACACGTGGCCCAATGGCCTGGTGACACGTGGCACCCAGCCGTTGGTCAGCAGGGCTCCAATCCTCTGCTGACACGTGTCCTCTAAACCCTAAAAGGGGAACCATCCCTTCCCCACTATAAATAGTGGAAGGACCCTCATTAATGAACAAGGAGGAAGGAGCGAAAAACATTCATCACTCACATTGAATACTCCTCAAAAAGAAAAACACTTACCCCGAGCAATATTAATTGCAGAATTCTCCCATTACGCGAGAAGTAACTTCTACATTACGTGCATCCTACCTCCCGTATCTTTACTAACTTGATCGTCGGAGGCGGAGCTCCTACCCCCAGGAGTCTTCGCGATTTTGCAGGCACAGGCGTCGAAGGGCATTCTTGGAATTGTAACTCTCCCGCAGGACACATCAAAAAAACCCCGAAACAAGAGCTATGTATAACATTACCATTATTATTATTATTATTACTATTATTAATTGATTTTCTTCATTTTAATGAAGGATCTTTTTATTTTTAAATAAGTGCATCACTTGTATGGTGGCATGAGCATTTAGGGTTTGTTCTCATACGTTTATTTTCAGTTTAGTTCAGCTCCTAATTTCCTTCTCTTATAAAATATTCAGTTCATTTCATCTATGATAACAGGCCCTTAGTGTAAGGAGAGTTATTTTGATATATGTAGGCATGTAGCACTGTAGCAGTAATGTACTCCTACGTCTCCCACTTATTACTCCAAATAAAAAATAAAGAAAAAGAAGAAGAAGTCTAGCTACTAGTCTACTTCGTATTATTCCCTTTGTCCCTATTTTTTTTGCCTTATTTGACAGTGCACGGTCTTAAAGACACATATTAAAACATCTATATCTTTAATTTTTACACGTAAAAATTATAAAAACATGATATTAATAAAATATACAATGAGACGAATCTAACAAGACCACTCATGACTAAATTATCTTTTACGGAGTATAGATTAACGGTAATTAATAGTCAAAGTTTTCAAAGTTTGACCCCAAAAATAATAATTGATTGGGAAAAAATAAAAGGATAGAGGGAGTAGCATATATAATTATATATATTAGAGCACTCTCATTCATGGGAAAAAAAATGCTCATTAGGAGAATTTAATGGTAAAAATGCTAAAAATGATATCCCACTCATGAGCAAAAAAAAAAAAAATGCCCATGAGGAGATTATCAAATGCCCATAAGAATGGCAAAAATAAATTGCTACGGTATCTATGGGCTCATGAGTGTTTGTGAGAGAAAATATAGGAGAGATGGTGGTGTGGTTTTTTTTTTTTTTTTGTTTAGCCCATGAGTGTGGGAAGAGTTCTTAAATAAAATGCCCATAAGAAAAAATGGAAAAGAGGAGTGAGAAAGTGAGTAGAGAGAGAGTGACATTTTTACTTTCTCATGAGTGGGAAAAGAGGGGTGAGAAAGTAAAAATGCCACTCTCTCTCTACTCACTTTCTCACTCCTCTTTTCCATTTTTTCTTATGGACATTTTATTTAAGAACTCTTTCCATACTCATGGGCTAAAAAAAAAAAACCACACCACCATCTCTCCTATATTTTCTCTCAGACCACTCTCACTCATGGGCAAAAAATAAAAATGCCACTCTCTCAACTCACTTTCTCACTCCTCTTTTCCATTTTTTCTTATGGACATTTTATTTAAGAACTCTTTCCACACTCATGGTCTTAAAAAAAAAAAAACCACATCACCATCTCTCCTATATTTTCTCTCACAAACACTATCTAATTTTTTGATAAAGAGGCAGTGCCCATAGGTATTGTAGCAATTTATTTTTGTCATTCCTAACCCGCAAATTATTGACTTGAACCAAACCCAAGAATTACCCTAACCCGTTTTAACCCGTGAAAACCCGAATTAAACTCGACCTATTGTTCACCCGACACGAATGTAACTCGACCTGTTATTAACCCGACCTAAACCCAACCCAAACCCGATAAGAAATATGACCCGACGTGACCCGACTCAAGCATGGACCAACCCAAACCCTACCGGCATAGGTTATGGAATTAATCCAAATTGACCTGACCCACTCTTACCGACCCAAATTCGACCCGTTTGCCCGAATTGACAGCTCTATCCGAAACATAAAAAAATTCTCAAAAAGCGTGGATATTAGCCATCAATTTTGGAATTTTTTGACTTTTTTTCACCCGCAAATAAAAATTGCCGAAATGTTTACCAAGGTCTCTAATACCCTCCGGGAGTCCAATTGGCTGGCCGGAACCATCCAATTTTCCTTTAAATAACCATTTTACCGGATAATAACTTGCACCGATTTCAATAACTCAAGGTTACCAAGAACATTTATGACAACAGATAATTATCATATATGGATCTAAACAGCATTATAAGACCCTGAGATGTAACCCATAAAATCACAATACTTTTCAACACTGGTCCTTGAAACATTCTTATCAAATACCCTATGGGAGTCCAATTGGGTGGGAACCATCCAATTTGCCTTTAACAACCATTTTACCGGTTTACAACTTACACCGATCTCATTAATTCAAGACTATCCCGAACATTTATGACAACAAATAATGATCATATATGGTTCCAAATGACATTATATGACCCCGAGATGTATTCCCTATAATTTCAAGACTTTTAGACACCGGGCCCCGAAAACTCCATAAATTCTCAAAAAGCGTGGATAATAGTCTTTAATTTTTGAATTTTTTGACTTTTTTCCGCCCGAAAATAAAAATTGCCAAAATGTTTACCATGGTCTTTAATATCCTCCGGGAGTCCAATCGGGTGGGTGGAACCATCTAATTTGCCTTTAAACGACCAATTTACCGGTTTACAACTTAAGTCGATTTCATTAACTCAAGCCTGCCAAAAACATTTATGAAAACATATAGTGATCATATATGGTTCCAAACGGCATTGTATGACCTCGAGATTAATCCCCTAAAATCTAAAGGCTTTTCTACACCGGGCCCCGAAACCTCCAAAATTTCTCAAAAGGCGTGATATTAGCCTTCAATTTTGGAATTTTTTTTACTTTTCTTAGCCCGGTAATAAAAATTTCTGAAATATTTACCATGGTCCCTAATACCCTTCGGGAGTCCAATTGGGTGGGTGGAACCATCCTATTTGCCTTTAAACGACCAATTTACCAGTTTACAACTTACACCGATTAAATTAACTCAAGCCTACTACGAACATTTATGACAACATATAATGATCATATATGGTTGCAAACGACATTATATGACCTTGAGATGTATTCCCTGGAATTTTAAGACTTTCGACACTGGGCCCCGAAGACTCCAAAAATTATCAAAAAGCGTGGATTTCAATTTTGGAATTTTTTGTCTTTTTTTCGCCCGAAAATGAAAATTGCTGAAATGTTAACCATGGTCCCTAATATCCTTCAGGAGTCCGATTGGGTGGGTGCAGTGGAACCAACCAATTTTCTTTTAAACGACCAATTTACCGGTTTACAATTTGCACCGATTTCATTAACTCAAGCCTACCACGAACATTTACGACAACATATAATGATCATTTATGATGTCAAACGGCATTATATGACCCCGAGTAGTATCCCCTAAAATCTCATTTCTTTTCAACATCAGCCTTGAAACCTTCAAAATTTCTCAAAAAGCGTGGATATTAGCTTTCAATTTTGGAATTTATTACTTTTTTTCTCCAATAAATAAAACTTGTCGAAATGTTTACCATGGTCTCTAATATCCTCTAGGAGACCAATTGGGTGGGTGGAACCATCCTATTTGCCTTTAAACGGGCAATTTATCGGTTTAAAACTTGCACCAATTTAATTAACACAAGCCTTCTACGAACATTTATGACAACATATAATGATCATATATGGTTCCAAATGACATTATACGACCCCGAGATGTATCCCCTAAAATCTCAAAAGTTTTTGACACCGGGCCTCGAAACATCCTAAATTTCTCAAAAAGCGTGGATTTTAATTTTGGAATTTTTTACTTTTTTTCGCCCGGAAATAAAATTGTTAAAATATTTACCATGGTCGCTAATACCCTCCGGGAGTCCAATTGGTTGGGTGAAACCATCCAATTTGCCTTTAAAAGACCAATTTAACGGTTTACAACTTGCACCAATTTCATTAACTCAAGCCTACCACCAACATTTATAAAAACAAATAATGATCATATATGGTTCCAAAAAATATTATATGACCTTGAGATATATCCCTTAGAATTTCAACACTTTTCGACATCAGGCCCGAAACCTCCAAAGTTTCTCAAAAATTGTGGATATTAGACTTCAATTTTGGAATTTTTTGACTTTCTTTGCCTAGAAATAAATGTTGTCGAAATGTTTACCATGGTCGTTAATACCCTTTGGGAGTCCAATTGATTGGGTGGAACCATCCAATTTACCTTTAAACGAGCAATTTACCGATTTACAACTTGCACAGATTTCATTAATTCAAGCATACCACGAACATTTATGACAACATATAATGATCATATATGGTTCCAAACGTAATTATATGACTCTGAGATGTAACCCGTAAAATCTCAAGCCTTTTTGATACCGGTCCTGAAACCTACAAAATTTCTCAAAAAGCGTGGATATTAGCCTTTGGAATTTTTTGACTTTTTTCGCCCGGAAATAAAAATTTCCGAAATTTTTACCATGGCCCCTAATACCCTTCGAGAGTCCAATTGGATGGGTGGAACCATCCAACAATTTTCCTTTAAACAACCAATTTACCGATTTACAACTTGCACTGATTTTATTAATTCTAGCCTACCACGAACATTATTTATGACAACATATAATGATCACATATGGTTCCAAACGGCATTATATGACCCCGAGATGTATTTCCTAAAATCTCAAGCCTTTTCAACACTTGGCCCCGAAACCTCCAAAATTTCTCAAAAAGCGTGGATATTAGCC